TTTGCCTTGCAATATCTTGAGGATGTTTTTTGGACAACTCAGGAAAGTGTCAAGAAAGATGGAGTATCTGCATGGCTAACCAAACATTAACATTATATTGTACACATGCTAATTATTTGTGCCTGCATGTGTGTGGTCATATTCCTATTTAATATTAAAGTCTAAATGGATTAAGTCATCTGACATCTATTTAAATATAAAACATAATTAGTATATTCTAAATTTTACATAATAATAAATAATTTCTTTCACAATTGTAGTCAAATCTTCTCAGTTGCTTTTAATCTAACAGATAACAAAAAACACAAATTAATGGAAGAACTGCATGAATACGAACACATTGAATAAATAGAGAAACATGAAAAACATAATATTTACCTCTTGTGACATATCAAAAGATTTTATAATTTGTTCAACTTGACAATAGTCAAACACCATACACACGTCAATTTGTCAACCCCTATCGACACATCTAAAATGTGCAGGTTCCGTTGACAATATAATGCATTCTCAACAATGCACACTCTTCCTCGAAACACAAATAATTGTGCCAGGATACGCCCAACCTTCGCAAAATACAATGTCTATAACTGAAATATTAGAAATGAGGTTGTGACGCATATGAATAAATTATTAAATTATCTTTTGGTCAACAATTGTTTATTTTGGCAAAGATGTATAAACCAGAAAGATATTATGAAATTTCAATTGTTTGCAATTTTAAATGAACATGGTCAGTTACATTGACATTGCATTCCAAGGCATACAGGCAAACCTCGAAAGCACCACAAGAGTGCCCAGGACACGTGTCAACTCTACTGGTGTTTGAATAACACAAGCTTTGAAAACTGTTTGCGTATTACCTTCTCATGCATACTTGCATTCCTCAACTTACATAAATGATGCATTCGAATCGTGACATAACTCTGAGAACAGCACTTTATCAGAGTGAACAGGTGGTTGTCCAATGCACTTGAGTCAAACATGTGTTGGTTTAACGTGCTAAAGACCCCGCTCTTCACACATGTTTCCAGCACCGTCTTCGCAATTGCTCCTGATAGTCCAGCGCTACGAGGTAAACCACCTTGGTTAGCATTCAGCATTCGCATAATGCACTTTTCTGTTTCTTCACAAATCTTAATCAGTCCGTGTGACGGTAGTTGCAAACCCCCATTCGTCTTCCATGTTACGAACAAGTCCGGTATGTTCTCTTTCGTCGTCGTCAGAACCGTTGTACATTGGGTGCAATGGATCTTTTTCGTCACCATCTTTGCGACGTACCCAGCAATATACGATATTGCAGCCTCCTTGTACTCAGACAGTTCAATGGCATTAGACACATCACAGTAGTCATGATCGACGGCAGCTGGCTCTCTCAACTCCAGGTCGTATCGCCTTGCAATCGCCACGTCTGAGATCCCAGTCGGCGTTTCTTCAATTTCACACTGGTCTTTGACACAGTCAGTATCTCCGTGTCATCTTGAGCAACGCAGTTTCCACGTCCTCCTTCAATATTGTGCCTCATCAGCAGTTGCTTGTACGCTGCGACAAACTGCCGTGTGGTTGGATTGTTATTCCATCCTCCGCATGCTCGCACAGCACCGAAGAACAACTCCAAGTGATCTTGACTTATCTTGTACGTCAAGAGGTACTTTAGCACTGGTTTCTCCGCCATAACCAGATCGTCGGCCCAATCCCAAAACTGCTTTGATGCAAATAAGAAAACCAAGAAACCCGGTCTTTCTTTTGTCTTGAGAATCGATCTTCCATCAGGACCCTTTAGATTTCGGATGTACTCACTCGCCTGGTCCAGAAACTTCTTCGCGTACTGATAATTCGATCTCCTGATTGGCGCTTTGTAATTCTTCGCCAGCCGGTTTCTGGAATTCAGAACATCAAATAAGCGATCAAAAACACGAATAAACTTCACAGTTGGACAACATCCCTGAAATTGTGGCAATTTATGCTTACCTTCGCAGTATTCTAAAGCATCAGCGACACTCCAACTGAGCGCCTGTGCTGCTAGGTTTACCTTCATCTTCTGTGGTTTCCATTTGATATGCCCTGCCCGGAGCTTATTAGCAAGATGTAAACCCTCTGATTCTTGCAACTGATGCAATTTCTCGATAAATTGCCACTGAATTGTGTTCCTATCTCATCCTTCAGAACTTGCCAGTCCGACATTGTGTTTCGCACCAACTTTATCATGTGGCAGCATCCAGAAACACGTAGATCTTGGCCTCTGGGTCACACGGATGCGGAAAATACGCCTGCAGGCTATCAGGTGAAAGAATTGCGCCGAGCTCCTTTAACATCGCCTGGTGGGTCGAAGGACCATCGCATGTGAAAGAAATCACCTTCACCCCAACTTCGTGCAATTTTCGAATGCATTCTTTCGTCAAGTTGCCTTCTCTTCACCAGTGAGTCCATTTACTAGAAAATATCCACAGGGTATTTTCCAACTTGAGTTTGCGCAAACTGCCATGTATACAAGAGCATCCGTTGCCTCAGGTAGAGAGTCGTCTTCAATGCCCGTTCCGAGGTCGACATAGCCACGCATTCTCTTTCCATCCCACTCAACATGTTTTCGTATGGACCATTCATCCAAGGTGAGGGCGCAAACAACTTCTTCACCTTTTCTTTTTGCAGCGAGGACCTTAGCTTTCAAAGCTGTCAAGGCATCTTTCGTGAAACCGGGTTCACCATCCATCGAGGTATACCACGATCGGATCACAGATACGTGTGGTAGCCCCAGCTGAAAACTTTTCCGAACATAATTATATGCCTTCGTCGAATAAAACTTTAAGGTCAGAGCAAATGACCTTAGCTCGGGTGGATACGCCCCAGGATATTTGCTTTTCTTTTGCGACACTAACCTTTTCATCAGTTCCTTTGGAACTCCGGAAAAGGTTGTTTCCAAAATCGCAGCACAATCACTATTTATAAGATTACTTTGCTTCAGTTCACTTACCACTGATTCCAAAGTGCTAACCTTTCTCTTAAGTCTCCTTGTTTTTTGTCTTGATACCTTAAACTTCTTCTGCAAATTAGTCATGTTCTTTACAAGATTGTCTACACGTTTCTTCATTTTGCGAGGGGATTTACTGATATGGTAGGTGTGATCATGGTTCACATGACTAACGTGTATTTTTTTGGCAGTACTTACCCCATTAATAACCATCTCATCAAAGTCTTCATCTGAAGCCTTTCTTTTTCTTCCATGTGCAATTAAATTATCAGTAGTAACCTCTTTAGTTATATCCTGTACACTTACATTAAGAGAGCTTACCTCAGTGACACCATCAGTGACACCCTGAGCAACTACTTTATTAGTACTCCCAGTTGTTGTATCTCCTGCGCTGTCTTCACAAATTACCATATGCTCAGCTACTTCTTGCTTACTTACACAATTTCTGTCAACCACCCAATTTGTGACATCTTTTGATGCAACCTCTACATGTTCCACACTTTGTGTTACCTGGACAGAAATGTTAAATTTGCAGTTTAATATTGATAATGCATTGAAAATCATTAAGGTGTAAAATACAAGAAAAAATGGTACTCATGCCTTGTATTGGGATATATATACATATTCCACAGTTGACAACTATATGAATTGCAGGTGACCAGTGATAATTAATTAGGTTTGTACTTGTTCACCAATTTAAAAGAGGCACAAACCTGAGACTTCTGAAATATTGTTGGGATAGCAGATGGCAACAGCATTGTTTTTCTGGTTTTCCCAACTTTTTGCATCATGTCCACACTAAAATGTTCAGAGCAAACACGACTTCCCTTATTTGGAACAAACTCAACTGCAACATTCTTGTTTATATTCTCCATCCATAAGGCATGTAACTCAGGTCTTTTCTCAGCATCAGGAAAGCTTTTTTTTAAATGTTAAAATAAAGTATTATGTTACAGTAACTATATAGTTAACAAATAACTAAACTAGCATTAGTTGAATGTTTTTTAACTCAAATTTTAAATACATTTATTTATGTATTATATCAAAATATGTATTTTGTAGTACATGGGTTTTTGTAAAATTGATTTTGCCTATTGCATGAAAATGATATCACCGCATTTTTAAGCATTACCACAATCAAAAGAACTGTATGCAGCCATGATGTGAGCACAGATAATAATTGAATGACTGGACTTCGTACAAAACCTTTATATATATATATAATCATCAAAGGGATGGGTTAATAAATAATTTGCATTGTATGCTTGATTTGTTTTTCTATAAAGCAAGTAAGCGTAAGTAAATTCGGTAATTTAACGACACTTTAAGATCGACGTCCACAACAAAATGCTGAAGGCAAACTTTAAATCGCATTTTAAAGTGAATTCTATAGTTTTAGGACGGAGTAGTTACATTCATGTTTCATTTTTCAAATCAACAAATACATTTCCTAGTTTCATCGGCAAATAGTTGCTAAAAATACAAATATAAATTGGCCGTTTGCGGTCACGAAACACAATAAAAAAAATCCTGAAAGCTGAAAACAGTCAAAACACGACAATATAATGCAAATTATTTTAAACTTTAGAGAGATTCAACTCTAAATTTATTACAACTGTTTTTTGTGTGCAAAAAATGACGCCATTTCTTTTTACATGTGAAAAAAGTCGTGTTTTTGTGCAATAAAAACAATAAAATAAAGAAGTTGCATAAATAACTTACCGGTGGGAGGTAATATTCTCCTTCGAGAAGGAATTATGGCAACCAAAAACGCAGCAAAACTTAGGCATTTTTTAATTTAAAGTGAGGCGGGAAAGATGAATAAAATAATATTCAAAAAACTGATATCAGTCAAAAATCGGGAGGGTGACGGACATAGTTTTTCACTTTGTATCGCGGTATGTCAGTGGTAACTACCATGGGCAAAGGGGACCAGGTGACGTCACAAAGCTCAAAATCCGCCATGTTTTTTGCTTCACTTTCTGATCAGGAGCCGGTCCTCCAGGAATTATTATATAGCTCAGTGCTGAAACCCCTTTTTTGGGGGACATGTCGCAGTGCTCGGAAGTTTTCGTCCAATTGGATAATGCTTTTTATATTTTCTAAAAAACGAAGCTATACTAGGGAGGTTTTTGGGCCACAATTTCTCAAGAAAGGAAATTTCCTAGAAAGTGGAAACCCGCCTTTGTGATCACAGATCGCAAAATTAAACTGGATGCAAACATCTGGGTGACTCTGTGACTGGGTCCCTTCTTGTTTTACATAGTATATATATTTTTTATCTAAAGTAATATATCAAATATAATATATAAATAATCAGTTCTATATAAATGGACAAAGTGGAAGAATTATTCAAGAATATCGGTGATCCTGGCAAATTTCAAATGCTTTCATATTTTTGTCTGGCGACCAACCTAGTGTATGTTATGTGTAACCATCTTTTAGCGGTATTTTTAGCGGCAAAGACACCACATCACTGTACATTAGCTGCAAATCAGACCTTGCGTGATTTTATACCTCTTGTGGTGCGAGACACTAAAGAACAGTTCGACGGTTGCTCGATTTACACAAAACATAGCGGGAACGAGTCAGAGCCATGCCGCAATGGATGGACATACAATTTGGAAGAGCGAGGGAATACAATTATATCAGAGGTAATTAATAGCTGACTAGTGTAAATTGAGTTTGACAAACTATAACTCTCCTTGTACCACCAACATTATAAACTACTGATTATATGATTATTGATGATATGATCCTGTATCATTCCTCCCATAAGGGCTGGATAATAGTTAATTGCCTGCCTTGCTTAAATGTTAATTATGACCTTAAAACTTATTCAAAATAACAAAGCACTTTATTCATTGATCACCGACAATAATGATTTACTACATAGTGTACATGTAATGAGCTAGGAGTAAAAGTTTAACAACAAAGAGCAATGCTATTTAATCTGACTAAATGATGGAATAAATTTAGTTTGTTCCAATTACAGTAATTAATACATATGTTCAATTTGGTTTGTTTTAACAAGGTGTATATAGGTAACCACTGACTGGAAAGTATGCAGACTGTGCGAACGAGATTTCAGGACTAGTAAATGTAATTAGATTGAAGCATCAAAATTGAGCCCCCATGCAATATCTCTGTTGTGCAATAATACATTACTCAAAGCAAGAAAATCAGTCAGTGTAGTTTGCATCTGTGTGTACGGTTATTATATTTAGTAATACTATGTAAGTGCTCATCCAGTTTAATTCATATTGCAGTTGTTGATAAATCTAGCATGCATAGGGCTAGCTTATTTAGTTGCATATGATGATATAAAATTGCAACAGACTGCAATATAAACCAGACACAAAAATTTTAGGCTGTTATTATTATATATCTATATATTAATAAAAATTAATAACCTGTTTAAATTAATTTTGCAGTTTGATCTTGTTTGCGATGATGCATATAAAAGTGAACTATCAACAACAGTGTACTTTGGTGGAGTTCTGGTTGGTTCCCTCATTTACGGGTTTCTTGCTGACAAGTATGGTCGAAAGCCTACACTTGCAGTTTCTCAATTATCAGGAGGAATTTTAAGTTTTGGAGTATTCATATTTCGAAACTATTATGCATTTGTTACCTTGAGATTTTTCCTTGGTATCCAAACACAAGTATGTAAGAATTATTTGCTATGAACTCCAGAAATTGGGCATAATTTTTGTGCACTTTCCAAGATTATCTCCAATGCTCCCCCTTAATTCTCTCACACACTCATTGCAAAAAGCCAAAAACTAATTTCCACTCCCTAGCTCACTGCTTGGTCTAAACATGATGATGCTAGACAGTTTATTTTTTATTAGATGCAAACACTTGCAACAGGTTTGCAAGTTGATTTTGCAGCTAGTGGAAAAGAGCCTTAGGCCTGGACCTTGCTCAGTGCTGCTGCTGGAATGATAATTTGGGAGAGGGCAGTAAGAACAATTGATTTCAAAACAAATTAATAATTCAGAACAAAAATACATGAATATTGCCTCTCAGTCATCCTTCTGGTGGTCCTACTGTACTGTTGCTAAAATCTGGGCGAGGCTGCTGTTAATATTTGATGGCAATTATTTGTAGAATTAGGCGAAATGCAGAAAATTATTACTTAACAATTATTTTCCGAAGGCCAGGGAATATCGCTGCATGAATAAGCGGAACGAATGTTCGAGGTTTTTATTGAAATTAATGAAATGTAATGAAGAATCGGCTTTATAGCGAGTGCGCGCGTGCTGATTGGTCTAGAAGCGAGTTTCTGTAACTGTATCGAAACACGGAGGTTTTTCTGCCGAAATTGACAATGCGAAGGGATGTAATCAGAATCTCTAATTGTGTAATAATTAAGAAATATAAAACATATTCCGTGTTTCTATACAGTTTTAGTATATACCCGACTATTGTCTATTACAAATCCTACATTCAACATTGGCTACTCAACCATTGTCTATTCGTGATGGTGAACGTTTGAGAAAAATTCGCTCGCGCGACCGTATAAAATTGAATTAATTAAATTATTTTTCGGTGTTATTATGGTGTATCGATTATTTTCTCGAAATTAATATATTTAGGTACAGGGTGTATACTAAAACAATTAGACAACACGCCTTCGTTGTCTATGAGCGAATAGATAACTCGGACTCTTTGTCTAATTGTTAAATAGCAAACACGCATGGAAGTTTGGGAGAACAAGAAATAACTTTTCCACGTTACTTCGAGTTCTTCCAAACGCCTACAAGTGTTTGTATAACTGTATAGAAATACAAAAAAAATGTTTTCTATTTCTTTTAACATACAACTCAATAAAAGGATTTCGTACAAATATTATAATTTGATTCAATTAGCTACACATTTTCGTTACATTACTTCGCTTGTCAAATTCGGCGGGAAAATTCCCGTGTTTCTATACAGTTATATAGAAACACGCTTCTCGACCAATCAGCACGCGCGTACTATAAATGTTATATTATAATGCACGTTATCGGAGGCTTATAATAACTACGAGTCGTGTTTTACAAGCTTCTCTCGTATTCTCCTAACGTTCCTCCTACTGCATCTGGTGATTGGAGCTGCGGAATGGGGAATTAGGTGATTGGGAGATCTCGCTTACCTCATATCGATATCTTTTCGGTGTTTCCACTCGAAAAAGAACTTGATTTTTAATGTTTTACCTTTCATATGTCTCGGTCTCAATGAGTACGAGGGAGCTAGGTTTTGAATATAGGCGTTAATTAGCATCTCAAGAATATAAAATATTTTGTGATGCTCTTCCTATTAAATGTTGTTCAATGGGTCCAGTGAATGTCCGTTTCTTTTTTCTGATTCGTGCAGGCCGCTTTTATAGTATCCTTCGTCTTGGCGTTGGAGCTGTTCCAGACGAAGTATCGTGCACGAGCTGGTGTGTTTTTTGGCATTATTTCAGTGACTGGTGGCGTGGTTTTAGGCATACTTGCATATTTAATACGGGACTGGAGATATATTCAGCTGGCCATCTCATTCATTCCATTCATTCAACTACTTTTGTTGTGGTAAGTAGTCTCATTTCTATGAACTTTAACTTTTCAGGTGATATCTAAAGGCGGGAAAGGACTGGGACTAGTTGTGAAATTTAAATCTATTTATAGTGATAATGCAAAGACTCAGGTGTGTATATTAAATGTATATGTGATGTTGCTACTCAGAGTGGCAACATCACATATACATTTAATTAAATCTATTTCTCGGCGTCTTTGTTCCCAGTTTTTTCGCGAAATCAATGCCAAGTGCCAACTGCGATCTGATTGGTCGCGACTGGTCGCTAGGTTGATTGATCTTCGTTCCTAGGTTTTCCGCGTGCCGACATAATAAAATTATCTCTTGAAATATGCTTCATTTCTGATTCAAATTTATATCAGAACTATAGTACTTATAGCTAAACATCTCTATAACGAGATGACGCTTGTTTAATTTCTATGGACAGGCTACAGAGAAGCTTCGCTAATTTCTGCCTGACCCCGTCATGCCTAGCTTTAGGTCTGTTCACACAATCCAGTTTGTCGGATTCAATTAACTTCTGGCGTATGGAATTGAATGTGTTATCGGTAAAGCAGTACTCCATTGAACAGACTATAAAATTAATATCAAAAGTAGAATAGTACCTAAATGGAATCCAGCAAATTGGATCGTGTACACTGTAAAAAGACCTTAGCCACGTCACGTACTATGTAGCTACAGCTCCGATATCCGTCGTCTAGATACTTGAAATGTTTACTCGAAAAAGTGGTTTGAGGATCTTAGATTTGATTTGGAAGATAAACTAGTTTAAAGATTTTATGCGGTGTATCAAAAACAATATCTAAAAAACCCGACACTCAACACAAGATGTTTTAAACATGAGAAATTCAGGTTTATTGTTTACACATGCATGGCCATCAAGTTTATTGTTTACACATGGCCATCTTTTTTTAGTTATAGGTGTGTATATACCGTACATAACCTATATGTATTTAAATTTTAGTTTTGTTCCCGAGTCTATCCGATGGTTAATCGTTCATAAAAGGTTTGACAAAGTGGAGCATATTGTTCGTCGTATAGTTCACTTCAACAAGTTGCCATATCCCGAAGAGATTATGCGGAAAATAGGAGAACTTGATATTCAGGATGGTCTCAAATCACAGCATGATAGAAAGGCCAACGTTTTAGATCTTTACAGGTCCCCGTCACTGCGAATGAAAAGCTTCATTCTGATTATTGTGTGGTAAAGTATTAATTCCTGAAATTTTCAGTAAAACTAAGACGATACAGAAAATACAGTGGGGGTCAAAAGTTTGATTGAGATTAATATAACAACAGCACTGTACAATCACCATATAGGATTTAAAACAAATTGGCGCTGTTCTAAAATTTTGTATGATCTCTTTTACGTTTCAAAACATGCAGCTTTGACTTTTTCTGGCATAGAGTGAACCAGTTTTGTTAGCACTACTGCAATTCTGTTCCAACGTTGATTAAGGACGTTTCACTGGTTTTTCTTCTACTTTCTTTCTATCTTCCTTTGCAGGAGTTGCGCTTGGTCTCGCAGATCTTCATTTAATTGAATACGAAACTGATTCACGAAACGTTTCCAACTTTTCCTTCGGCACATATAACCTCACCTCAATTTTTCGCTGAGACATCCTTTCATTGTAGGCCTTCTCTTTGCCATGTTTGGTCCACCAAAAGAAAAATTCACATTTCTTGTACAATTTAAATACCATACGAATAACCAGAAAACATGCATATGGGGGGCATTACTATCATAAAATGTGCACGTTCAGATCAACATATCCATTCTCCAACTCACAAGATATTATTTATCGTAGATTAAGAAAAATTATCGACTGGACTCAGAATTTTTACCCCCACTGCATATAAGATGAACTCTACAAAACAACAAACAAAGAAATATATGCTAATGATTTGCTCAACACTTATCCGAACGCTGCTATTGTTGCGACTGTACACCTAATGTATATTTAATCATATTTCTTCATCACATGTAGGTTCACCATCTCTGCTGCCTTTTTTGGATTGGCCTTTAATATTTCGTTCCTATTCGGTGATAAATATGTCAATTTTTTTATAAGTGAAGCAACGGACATGTGTGGTGTCTTGTTGATGTTTTGGGCGGTCCCAAAGTACGTAGCTATTTTACCTCATAAAGTAGCCGTATATATCTTCTTTTGACGGATGGAAACGAGGAAAAAGTTATAAATGCTCTAATGTATAAGTGTCCTTATTTGTACATCCATAACTTATTTACTCATTCGCATCTATCAAAAGGAGAAAATCGCTGCACAAATTGCTAGTGTAAATGGGCCTTGAAGACTGTGTTATACGGTGCAATTTCAGGCAACTTGCAATGAATTCTACTTTTAAGAGATGTAAGGTAGTGAAAAGTCTTCAAAATGTAATTGTGAGAAACGTGTATGGAGTGTAATAAACCATTGCATTGCAATAAAAATTGCACCGCGTAACATGGCGTTAAGAGAAATTGTTCTAATCGTAAATATTTGTTTATGTTGTTACAGTATATAACATGCACGATCTTCTTTAAGGTTTGGTCGTCGGAGGCCTTTGGCGCTCGCGTTCTTGATTTGTGGAATAGCGAATGTGATCTCAGTTGTAACAACCGCAGTTGAGTCAGGTAATCTTTAGAAACTTTCCACATTCAGCTTGCCTAAAAAAGTTTTAGAAGTACTTACATTGCAAAATCTTGCAGAATAAATTGATTTGGGCGTTTTCTACGTAAAGAGAAACAGTCAGAAAACGCATGAAACTGTTTGCTGGCTTTAGAAACTATATAGCTATAGCCTTTCTGCGTGCAAATTAAATATTACCACGCCAGTCAGAACTGTCAAAATTTCTCCCAATACAGCAGGCTCGGTTTTCAGCGGTTCACTGGCGAAGAGTCGAAAGATATGCATTTCGCCTACTAATCTGTATTTTACATGAGACACCTGCTGATAGTATGAGCCTGCACGCTAATTCGAATCAATGTGTCGCCGCTTTATTAGAAAACGTATAACGTTGCATTCGGCAACAATATTAAGATCAGGTAAGAAAAGCAAAAATGCGTTGATGCTTGAGACGCGGGTAGCTGAATGCAACGTTATAAAACGCCTGGCCTATACATTGCCTATGTATGTATTGATAAAAATTTACCTTTCCGCTAGATGCAACCGGAGTTAAAATTCTGGGAACCGCGACTGCGCTTCTTGGAAAGTCTTCCGCACTTTCCACAATGAATGTTGCAGCTACATTTACTGCTGAATTATATCCGACTGTTATTCGGTAGGTATATAATTATAAAACGTAAATGAATTTTGAATTTTTTTAAAAACAATATAAAATATGTAGACATTGTTCTTCATTTGCATTAAGTGATACGAATAATTGTCTAACACGGGTAATTGCTCTCAGAGTAAGCATTCGGGTGGTTTTCGAAAAAAATCATCCCATTCTATACTGTATTCATATGAATAATAAGGATAACGTTGACATAAAATCCTTCTAGTTAGTGACTCCTCCCCCCCCCCCACATTTTCTAAGGCCCAGTTTACACTGTCAGTTTCTGTGATCACAGTTGCAATTTTGCGTTGTTAAATCAAGTTTTTGTACTGAATATTCGGATGAAATAACTTAGTATATTAATTAGTGTTACAGTTCCCTGCAATATTTTCAACAAATCTTTTAAAACTTAAAATTTGTTGTTTGAAAATTCCAACTGTGATCGCAGAGCATGCGCTGCGTTATTGCAAAGTGAACATCTTTATGAAAACATGTTTAATGCATGTTTTAGGAATATAAGTCTTGGTGTTAATAATGCTTGGACAAGAGTTGGAGGCATGCTTTCGCCACAGATATTCTTGCTGGTACGTTTCACGCCAAAATGTTGCTTTTAACTGTGCTTTTACCGACTTTTTAACGACTTGTCTCAAAAGACGCGTTGACATATTACGTTGTTTTTATTCAGGGCGCGTATACAGCGACGTTTGTGCCATTTGCTATTCTTGGTGTGCTGTCTCTCGCAAGCGCTTTTCTAATCATGCTGCTTCCCGAGACCCACAACAAGTCGTTGATGGACACCATTCAACATGAAAAGCGGAAAGAATATGCGGAAACCAAAATCGAAGAGGACGAACGTTTCCAACTCCAAAATGTAGAGGAAAGGCAAGCTTTCGTGTCAGCGGAGTCGTAAGTGTTGTTGCGTGTAACGGATATGAAGTTCTCCCATTTTCCGTCGTAATGAGGGATTCACTTGCGCTCATCTAAGTCGCGAACCATGCTACTGTATAACTTGCGTATGGGTGATGCAAGAAACGGTCTTTGGAATTCCTGCCCTATATAACTAATATATTATATATATATAATAGTATGATTTATATATAAATATAAGCCCCATATATATTTTGCCCCATAAATATTTTGCCCCGTATATATTTTTTAACTTTTTGCTTGCCTTTCGTTGTACGCCATTTTGTTTGTATTTTTAATCAATCCGGTATCGTGTAATCAAGACAAATCCGATACCATATGTATATCGGATCAACGAAGATTATCTGATACGAAAACTAACCCGGTATCGTGTAATCAAGACAAGTCCGATACCATATGTATATCGAATCAGCGAAGATTATCCGATACGAAAACCAATCCGCGGTATCGTGTAATCAAGACAAACCTGATACCATATGTATACCGAATCAGCGTAGATTAACCGATACGAAAACTAATTCGATATCGTGTAATCACGACAAACCTGATACCATATGTATACCGAATCAGCGTAGATTAACCGATACGAAAAACTAATCCGATATCGTGTAATCACGACAAATCCGAGACCATAATTTATGTATATCGAATCAGCGTAGATTATCCAATACGAAAACCAATCCGGTATCGGGTAACTGGCGCCTAGATCTAAAGTTAAAATAGGGCGATGCATTGGTATAAAACATGTGTGATGCACTTTATGACTGAAGCTAGCGAGGAAGGGCGCCAAATGTTTTCAAATCAAAATTTGAATTCGAAACCCAAAGAGAGAAACTAAATGTGTTAGTTTGTCAAAAATATTTAGTCTATCGTTTGCATGCATTTTTTATATTACTCTTCGTCGTTTATGTAACATAATTCAAGGCATTCTTTGTAATGATAACAATGAAAATTTCCACAATCCACATTGAACGCAAACAACAAAATGTTTCCATTGTTCGCATTTTGCCACAATGCGTGATAAAATTACATATTTTATAACTTAGATGAACGTCCCAACTTAACTTTTTTAATACATGCTGGATAAACACAAACCTTCCATCCCATCAAGTTTCATGAGGTAATTTTTGATCTTTTTTGCAATAGCTTGCTCAACACAGCATAAAGAATTGATTACAGTCCAAGTCGTATGGGTTTAAAAATTACGGATTTCATATACATTTATTACTTTCGATCTCTTCCATTCTTAGGTCGACAAAAGAATACTTGTTCACTTACCAACAGGTGGATTCTTGGTCAGAAGTCAAGATATAATGAGTAAATGCGAATTGCTCTAAAATAGACTTTGCGTCCGTAGTCACCGACGCCTGGCTTCTTTCGGCTGTTCGAATAATATGTTTGATATTAATATCCTGTACTGCCCTCCCAGCTTAGCAAATACACGGACAAATAGTTCATTAATATATCTCTCGGGAGTTAAAATATTGTTTCGTAAATTTTTGAACCTTTTTTGCTCTATGTGAACAAACACGACGTCGCGGGAAAACTTGGCGGACATTTTTGTAATATAACAATGTAAACAAAAGAGCGGGAGAACTAAATGCCGGACAGGAAGTTGCGAAACCTTTGTATGTTATTGCGAAATAGCTAATAATCGAATAACAGGGGATGGTTTGTCATACTTTTCGACATCGGTATGGTTGACATTTTGTTGCAAAATTCAACAACATATATTTGCATTCAACTTTACGTATTTTGCATGCAATTCCAACGTTGAATAATTATATTCAAGCAATCAGTTTCATTCAACTTCAACAAATGTTGTATATTTATTCAACTTTAAACGTTACAATGGTGCATATGACAGCATATCTATTCAATTTCAACTGTGAACATTTGTTCAACTTAAAAACAATCTCAAATTCAGGCTTAGACATTCTATTTAAAGTTTAAACTAATATTTTTTCAACTTCAAGAGTATAAAATCATTCTAAATTGGCGAATATATAAATTCTAAAGTATGTCCGGGAACTTAAGTTCCCGGACATAGAGTTTATTCAACAGATTCGAAACCAGTCCCCGTAACTAATTTCGCGCCGAATATCCAAATTCCAAAATGGCGGACGAAGGCGGTCAAGGCCGTACAACAACTTTGCCGTCAAATGAGCTCGCTGAACTTGTTCGTGACTGTGTTAGAAGCGAAATGGAACTTCATCGATCTGCTCACCAAGGAAATACCAACTTACTAGCGCGGACAAGAGATCTCATTGCTGGTTCTGCAAGATCAGCTAGCCGAGAAGTTGCGAATTTAACTGATACCTTCGCAGAGCAATATTAATACTTTTAATAGTACGCGCTAAAAATTACAGAAAACTTTTAACAGACCCGAAAAACTCTCCCCCCCAGCAGAGTTTATTGTTTAAACCAGGGCCATCAGGTTTATTGTTTACACTTAGGGCCATCTTTTTATAGGTATATTATTCTCTACGGAATAATAATTGTCTTTCAATTCCAAAAATCACAAAATATAAAACAAGTAGGTTTGCTAACAGTTTCGTCGTGGCGGTTGGAAGGCCTATACAACTCTAATCTTAAGTAGTAAACGATTTATGCGTGATTTAATTCTTATTTAGTTTTAATAGTTATAGGTGATATAGCTTGTAAATATTCAGCGCTAGACTTTACTCACATTATCATATCAAAACACCCAAAAATTTCGTGTTTATAGCTTAGTCGCAAATAAAACATATCAATTAGGAAAATATTTTATCGAGAAATTAAACTACTTAATTAAACACTGCATAGCTGGATACTTATGAAAAATACATATTTCATAAAAATTTACGTGCTACCGTCATAATTATATTGTCTACAAAGATTTTGAATGTTCGTGATAACTGTTCTTTTCGAACGAAATTGTGTTAAGTTCAGCAGTCGCAGTTAAATTCGCAAGCAGAGACACAGTTTTCATGCATATATGGTTGATGGCATAATCCACCATTCTTCCATTCCATACACTTCTCGTGTTTGTTGTTACTACAACACGATTTCTTACATTCTCTCAGCATAGCCTCTTTCTCGGAGAAGCAACGTCCTTCCAAAGCAAGCCGCCAACAGTTACTATGATTATCGGAGCATGATTGATCAGATTCTATACAACTGTTACGCAAGGCTTCATAGTGATTGAGATACGCATATAAAAATAGCCATAAAAATAGAAATAACAAGAGCATGACAGGGATTAGTGATTAATTTTTGCCGCAAGACGCCTGAGTAAATATAATTTCGGCCCATTCGCAACCATTAATCGCCTTTCCCTTTCATGTATGACATATCGTGGGATTAAATAAGTAATAAGGTGAAAATAAATATAATCCTCTCAGAATTAATACCTGGATAAACATTCGTAAGTCGTCACTTATCTTAATGGTCGCATTCTTTAAAAAAAGTGTGCGCGCTGTAGGCCATTCAAGTTCATATGTCAATCAATTGTGTTAAAAATGTTGCTCGGTCAAGCATGTAATAGATTACGTCATCACAAGTTCAATTCGATAAAATAAGAGTGAAAATAGTTTAAGTTAAAAGATATTGTTCACAGACGTATTGTTGGTATATTTTACTAGTTGTTGATGATGAATATTTTAAGTTGTGAACATTTTTAAGTATTGATCGATTGAGCAGAAGACCAACTCGACTAGTGCGACAACGCCTTAAATAAACAAGATATGAGAGCTGGAACGAGCTTCTAAGACCAACCCACTGGTTACATGTACAACGCTGATTGGCTGGATAAGGATCAGCCCACTATGGTTGATGACGTATGCAAGAGTCACTGAACCCTCATTATAAAAGGGCGTGCACAGCACCTGAACCTTCAGTGGACTAGCGGAGTAAAGATTAACTTATGAAACGTTAAGAAGCTCAACCTACAGGACAGACGACCAAAGACAAGAACGCAAAACGACGAAGATAGAGAAGTAGAGAAGAGAAGAACGGAGAAAGAAGAGAACATTAGCGAACTTTAGTTAAAACTATTGTAAAGATCTCGTACCTCGCGTATCAAAAAAAGAATCTTATAACAACTTGGTGGAGGAACGGCCTCATGAGCAACCCGCAGGAACCGTACGTTCGATACATCCCTGTAGTATTTGTGCCAACGCCAACCGAAACGAACCCGGTAACAACCGCCGCCACCCAAACAGCAACGACAACAACAAAAGACGCGGCGACCCAAACGGAGAGTCCGTTAAGTTTGGAATTTGGGGAGTATATGCGAAAATTGCGACTCGAAGTTCCAAAGTCCCGCTACTGTGAGCCAGAATATCGTATAGTTCCAGCTGGATACGAAGACGATTCGGAAGACGAACTACTCCCAGTGTTGAGCTGGTCGTAAGTTGGCATATTGACTAAATCGATCAATTTACATACTTTATATTCTTCTCTATATAATAACGTTGCTCTATATCTAGTCTAGTAATATGTTTTACATATAAAAGAGAGTTTTACAGTTTAATGAGCGTAGCAGAATCTAGTTCTGAAAACGACGAGCCAATTGCTAGGCGAACGCGATCTCATAACATAAGTTCTCTCGGGTTGGACCCTGCGCGTTGGTGTACACGAAACTGTACATCTTTGGGTGGGAACGAGCCTTCTGTTCTTTTGGATACTTCTGATTCAGATACTTCCCTCTCTTCATTGTCATACTTAGAAACCGAATTTCCTGCTTTTCCCAGGGCCCCAATAATGGATGAGCATGCCCAAGCCTTACCACAGGGTCTCCTCGAATTACTACAACAAATGACCGACAGACTACAGGAACAACAAAATCAAATTGTAGGGGCGCCTCCCAGAGCTAGTGGTCTTCCACCGCCAGTTTTTCGTGGTTCCCCCACTGAAGACTACGATGAATGGTTACAAAAATTTAACAGTTATGCTACATTTAATGGGTGGACCCCTGAGCAACAGTTAAATGGGTTTATAATGTTTCTTGGTGGTAGCGCGCTACGCGTTTGTCAGCGTCAAACTGATGAAGTTCGCGCAGATTTAGAAGCGTTACAAGATGCTTTAAGACAAGTATTTGTATCACCACATCAACAGTTCCTCCGGCGCCAAGAACTAAATAACCGCACGCAAGGTCCAGTAGAGCCGCTTGAAAGTTACCTTGATGATGTTGACGCTAGAGCAGCGCGATTACAGCTTACAGATGCAGAAACTATGCAATGTTTTGTTCAAGGACTACGTCAAGATCTGAAAGAGCATGTTATTTTGCAGCTACCAGATACATATGCCGCCGCTGTTGATGCCGCGCGTTTGAAAAATTCGCTTTCGCATCCAATAACTGCAGCTCTAACAAGCCCAAGTTCGCGTACCTTAACGCCTATAGATTTTGTTTCGTCGCACTCAACAGCACACGTTCAAACAACACGTAATCCTCATAGCCATTCTGATCAGTTTCCGAATTACGTTACTCGTGAAGAATTTACGAGGTTACAAAATCAAGTTCAGGCTACTTCGCCGATTCCAAGATCGAGAGTAGGACCGGCACAATTAGTTTCAAATGCTTACAATACTTCACGTAATCGTCGCACTACGGATGGGCGACCAATTTGTAATCGTTGTAATAGAGTCGGGCATATTGCAAATCGATGTTTTGTAAATTTGAACCGCCCAAATTTCTCACAGGGCCGAACAAATCTTAATGCGCCCAGAGGCTCATTATTTCAGCCGCAACATTACACACAGGGACAAACTGTAAGAAACAACTTTCAAAACCACCCAAAATCAAACCTTTATTCAGCAAGGCCTACCCGCTTTCCAGCATTGCCACCACCTCCCCCACCCCCACCGCCGATGAATGTATTACAGCAAGAAGCTGCATATACCTCTAATCCATACCACGACGAACCCTGTTTTCTCTTTGCACGGAAACGTCCAAATCCAAATAATACATATATTTGTCAGAAACTTCGCAAAACATATTATTTGACTGTGGCTGGAAAAATCGAAGGCATTTGATACTAATATTCTCATTGATACGGGTTCGGCTATTACCGTTATTAATCAAGCTTTCTGGGAGAAAATTCGACAAAATTCGAGATTGGCTTTAGGAACATCTGGGCAATGTAAAACAGCGCAGACCGCGAGTGGTGAAATAGTTCAGGTTTTAGGTGATGTAAATCTGGAATTTCATATAGGCAACACTAGTTATATGGTAAAAACATGTGTTTTACCTAAGCTTCATTACATCGCTATTTTAGGAAAGGATTTTCTTGAGCGCTTTGATTGTATCATAGATTTTAAATCTGGGTATTTCAAAATTGATCGTGACAATATTGTTATGCTTAATACACCTAGTACGCGTCAAATTGAGACTACCGACCACGAACCAACAGTCGAAATAACGAAAGACCCATTACCATTCGCAGATGTAGAAACTGAACCTCATGAGAATTCAGGATATATCATTTATGCAGCTGATACTCATGTTATTCTCCAATTCAGAATGTGTCATCCCAGCAACATTTAAGGACAATTATATAACTGAAATAACGGGTTTGATTGAGGTTAACTCAAATTTACCGAAGCGATTTAATGTTTGTGGCGCCGCAGCGCTTGTGTACGTATCCCCATCAGGTCTTGTCCCCTTTCGGTTGGTAAACCCTACTGAAAAACCGGTTAAAATTTATAGGTATACTACGTTGGGCACGTTTTTTAAACAAAGTGAGATTAGCAATATTATGTCTTTATCAGCAGAACAAACATATAACCATGATTTATCCACTGAGCAGAATTCTTTAGCTGAACAAACAGATGATGAATTTGACATTTCACCAGACCTGACGACTGATCAATTGAATGCATTACATGGCTTTTTATCAGATAATGCAGATATTTTTTCGCAAGGCACACACGATTTAGGAAGAACTTCCATTGTTAGACATCAAATTTTTACTGATGGTTCTCCACCTATACGACAGAGACCATATCGCACTGCACCAACACAACGTGATACGATAACCGAACATATTCAGACAATGCTTGAGGCCAACATTATTGAACCTTCAGTCAGCCCATGGGCAAGTCCAGTAGTGCTTGTAAAGAAAAAAGACGGTTCAACTCGTTTTTGTGTTGATTACAGGAAACTGAATGCTGTAACAAAAAAGGACTCTTATCCTTTACCACACATTCAAGAATCATTGGACTTATTAGGCCAAACACAATTCTTTACCACCTTAGATTTGTTTTCTGGCTATTGGCAAGTAGAAATGGACGAATCGTCCAAAGAATTAACTGCATTCACCACTTATGATGGCCTATACCAATTCAATGTACTGCCTTTTGGATTATGTAACGCCCCGTCTACGTTCCAGCGGTTGATGGAAAACGTTTTACGCGGACTAAACTGGAAAATATGTCTGATATACATCGATGACATAATTATATTCTCGCATTCCTTTCAAGAGCATCTACAACATTTGAATTTGGTATTTTCGCGCCTAAGACAAGCAAACATTAAACTTAAGTCTACTAAATGCCATTTTGCATTTTCTAAAGTCAAATACTTAGGCCACATTGTTTCGAGAGAAGGAATTCAGCCAGACCCAGATAAAATCAGCGCAGTAAAAGATTTTCCTGTTCCAAAAAAGATTAAGGATATTCGTAGTTTTCTTGGCTTAGCTAATTATTATCGTCGCTTTGTGAAAGACTTCTCAAAAATTGCCAAACCACTGACGCAGTTACTCCATAAGAATGTAAAATTCCAATGGACCGATGCTTGTCAACTAGCTTTCGATATCTTAAAAACGGCATTAATATCAGCTCCAATTCTGTGTTACCCTGATTTCACAAAACCATTCGATCTTTATGTGGATGCAAGTTTAGACGGATTAGGCATGACTCTAGGACAAATACAAAACCACCGGGAAGTTGTCATTGCATACGCAGGGCGCAGTTTAAATTCGGCAGAGCTCTCGTATTCCGCTACAGAGAAAGAAGCGTTGGCAGTAATCGACGGTATAAAGAAATTCCAACCGTATTTGTATGGGCATAAGTTCACGGTTCACACAGATCATAACGCTTTAAAATGGCTTATGAGTGTCAAAGATGTCACCGGAAGATTAGCGCGTTGGTCGTTATTTATCCAGCAATTCGATTTTGAAATAAAACACCGCCCAGGCATAGCTAATGGCAATGCTGATGGTCTTTCGCGACGCGCTTATCCAAGCACTGATACCTTAGCTGCTTTAAAGCCTGTCCCAACTGAGCTAGCACGAATTCATGAAATGCAACGAAAAGATGCGGATTTGGCACCACTTATTACATATCTAGAAACAAAAACACTGCCAGGCGATGAGAAAAGTTCCAGAACTATTTTACATCAAGCGGACCAATTTCTATTAGACGAACATGGCTTACTGCATCATTTGTTGACTCCGGCGGGGCGAAATCGTCCCGATACTAAAATTCAACTAGTCATACCCACTCCCTTGCGTTTCGAAATATTAAAATCATTTCATGATAGCCCGCTAGGCGGACATTTAGGCTTAGAAAAGACG